TCTGCACACAAAACCTATAATTTTCATATTACTATCATACTAAAGATAAATTCACTTTAAAGCCAACACTTAAAACATTTTAAACAAAAAAAAGGTACCAGTACCTACACACAGACAATAACAAATACAAGAATACTGTACTGCCAAGAGGTTTGACTGAAACTCCTTTTGAAAGCTTCTGCAAATATGTTAAGAAAACATTGGAGAACATTCACTTTTTTCAAAGAGCCTTCCCTCACTGTCTAACCTAGAGGTACTTTATCATCAAAAGGCAAGTTCTACATCAAAAGTTACCAGCAGCAGTACAATATTAAAGTAACCACTGACCATATATGAATATGCTTAAGTCACAAACCCATTTTATACACATTACACAAATAAACATAAAGTGAGAATTCCATTAAGTCATTTACAAATGTGAACAAATGCACATGGCAAAAAAACCCCAAAACAAAACAAAAATCCAACCTGTTTTACATAAAATGTACTGAAGAATTAAAGGCTATTCAGGTTTTCAATGTTATAAAATTCTTTTGTCTTTTTTTTCAGGCACATATTGTATTTTTTGTCTGCAGTCATGAGCCTGAATCAGAGGCCCATAAAAGAAAACAAAACAAAAACACATATTCTTTAAGGAGGTAACAGGGATCCATCTCCTTTTAGTCAACTGAGTGCATTTAAGTTTTAATTTACACACTAAAACTAATTACATGATCTCAACAAGAATGACCTGAAAAGTTAAAAAGTGAAGATGTCCAAAATGTTTCTTGTACTTTGACTTATCCAGCCTCAATCTTTTTTTTTAGGGGGCTAAACAACTCATTATGAAAGATAAGAGGGGGAAAAAAGATCATCCTGAGAAAAGTACAAAACCGGACTCCGTTATACACATCTGCTGTGCGACCGGGTACGTGTGTCAGTATGGGGCAAGTAAAGGGTCGACAAAAGGCTTCTCAGTACGACTGAGTGAGTGATCTGGGAAAACTGTAAGGGGAACGGCTCCAGAAAGCAAGTACGCCCCAGTGGAACACACAGTGGGAAAATAAATAGGTATGGACTGGTACGTCAAATGTTGTATCTGCCTGGAACTGGCCAGTTACTTACATTCAACATCAATGTACACCCTTCATTATCTCAGATAGCCTATACCGTGGAGGGTTTAACGGAAGAAGCTACTGCCAAACTGAATGAGCTGTAGCTGTGGTAGAAAGCAAAAGTGAGAAACAGGCATCGTATCTGCAATTTCCTTCAAAATAGTGGTGCAGTACCTAAAGAAAATCGGTGTGGAATTTCAAGTAAGTAAAACTACATTTGTTAGCAGTAATTTTAAACAGCCCCAAATGGTACCATGATGCTTATTTTAATGTTTTTATGAGACAGAAGTGTAGTTTATCACAAATATTGACTAGTACAGCTGAAACGTTTGGTAATAACTGAAAATATATACTCTCCTTGTGGGGCAAAAGTGTCTTCGCCCTACCTCAGTCTCATCGAGTTCAACAGGATTAGCTGTCTTACAGAGGTAAGTGAGATTTAGACCTTGAAGGAATAACAAAAATAATATTTTAGAGACAGGGAACTTGAATTATCACAATATTTACCACACAGTGTCACAATATTTCTCTATATAAAAAGTTAATCTTAGTTTTCATCAAATACTTTAAAAATCAAGTTAAAATTGTATTCACAACTATATAATCCCTCTGACAGCTTTTGGTTTTGCTGATATTTGTTCTTTCTAACATCGTTTTCTTAAAATCTTGCTCCTCTTCCCATCAATTTTAGTTGTAGAGTACAGTATGGCCCCCGTTCACAGAAGGTATCAAATAGAGACACATTATTAAGAGGAGCTTTTTTTTTTCCCCAAGGCATAATCTGGGAGAAAACCGAAACAAAACAACCCTGTGTTTTGAATCGTGCTGCCCAGAGTTTCTCTAGCAGCACCTTCATCCACAACACTCCCACTCAACATTTCCATGCTTAGAACCACACAATTGCATTGACCCTAGCTCTTCTCTGTTCTCCATCTTCATCTTGGTTTATGCATCTGACTTTCAGCATGCACAACTTTGTAAACAAAATTTTCTGCCTGAACGAAAAATCTTCACAGATACCAAAATATTATTAGAGGGGAACAGTAAAGTCACATTTGTCCACTGCCTGAAATTCTGCAGTGTGTGGATCTCTGATTATGCAAATGCACGACTGGAGGAAGAGAATGTAAATGTGAATCATTTTCATTTTTATATCACGGACAAATCAGTTGCTGGTTTGCAATGCTGTCAGAAATGGCAAACAGTGATTATTCTTTAGTAGGTTGATCATTAGCAAAATTACTTGATTATAAATGGTGCTCTTTTGTGAATGGAGGCCTGTAGATTCAACTTATTCCAATAAACCAAAGGCATTACGGTGATAACTAAATATTTTTGGTCTCTCTACAAATTGTCATTATTATGGCAGCACTTTTCTAAGCTGGAATTTCAAACCAAAGGCACTTTCATGCTCGAGTGCAGAAGAGTCACAATTAATTATTTGGTCATGAAATTTAAAAAGGCAGCATTTATCCATACAATTCACTTTGCAGGGAGAACTAAGAATCTGTAACCTTTCCTTTTGGTGTAGGCATTTAACCACGTAGTGATGGGACTGAATTGTGCAGGAGGTTGGCTTAGACCAAGCAGTCAAAGAGCATTTCGGTGGGAAAAAATACAGATATTTTTAAAAATGGAACCAATTAATAAAAACAATATATAAAATTCATGTTAAGAGGCTAAAGGTACTTCTAATATAATGCTAAGGCACTGCATATTGTAATGCTTTGGCAGCTCTCAATTAAAAGGTTCCTACAAAAAAGTAACAGTAACAAGATAAGTACTTCCAGCTTACAAAAGAGCTCACAGTTTACAGGCAGCCTGTTGGACTACACACCCCACACTGAACAGTTGAAGGATTAAGGCTTTTAAGAATTAACATATACAGGGTATGGATCATTTACAGAAGTGTAAAGAAAAGACGATGGAAGTAGTTTCCCTAATATTACGTATGTGAACACCAATAAACATTGTGACTTTTTATACCCTATAGTTACGGCATATGTAGTGTGCCAGATTCTATTAAAAAAACCACCTGTACCTGGTTTTGTAAATTGGCTTACATACTTTATATGCCTCAGAGAGTTTGCTTGTTATTAAAAAACAAAATAAAATCACCAAAACCACAATTCAAACCCTAAATAAAAGACAACTTTAGAACAAAATAAAACAAAAAGTAGTTTTTGACTTGTAACACCAAGTGCTTAGAATAAAGGGCTACCGTTAGGCTGTTACAATGCAGTGCTTTTCCTGATGTGATTGTTAGTGTTAAAAAATGAGTGTTAAAAGAGAGCTTACCATGGACATATTTCTCTGTTCAGTTCATAGAAGATAAACTGAAAGATCATCAGCCCTAATATCCACAAGCAGGTATCAGCTAGACATCACAGCAATCATCCGCCTGCCAGAGGTGAGCTGGAGGCAGGCGTAGGAATGGAAGCAGTCACCCTTCCCCTCGGTGATGTCTGTAACATCCTCCAGCCTGACTCCTCACCCGCGTTCGTTATGAACACAGCCTGCCCCACACCTACAGCAACCCGCTGCCTTGCCTAGGCTGGGTTCTCGTCTAGGTAATTCAACAGTGCGCACGTCTAATAGAAAGTACTGTGCAGGAGTAGAACGTTAGAAGAGTAAGACTGGCTTTTTTTGGCGACTACAGCACTGTGCCTGGGAGTCAGTTCTAGCCCTAGATTGTGCCTGGGTGCATACTGGTAAAGGGCGGAGAGGAGGGACCTGCTAGATGTTATCTTTTTTGATTTCTGGGCTGCAAAAGACCTTCCCATTTGCTGATACCTCTTCAAGGTGGCTTGTGCTTGGCTGGGCAGCCCTCAGCCTTTCAGACAAATGTTTCACGTGAGAGCCTGCTGCTGGCCCAGCACCTGCTGAAACAACTGCTGCTTGGGCAACTGAGGGGCAGCGCTGGGCACGCAGCAGCGACAAAGAAACCAGGCAGCGCTCTGTTGCAGCTGGGAGGGAAGAGACTAGGTCTCTTGTGTGTGCGTACCTCAGACAATCACTCACACCCACATCCACGGTCCAAATCCTTACAGTATTAAAATATCTCCAGCTGTACTTCACTTCCTGGAGTCTTCCCTGAATAGATCAGAAGGCTGAATGCTACCACATCCGGATGCAAAAGGACAGCAGACCCCATGCGGTACGTGTGTGTGTGTGTGTGTTTCACGCAAGGTCTGTGCCAGTTGGAACTGGAGAGAGAACTGGGAGAGGTGTAAGAGCACCATGATAAAGAGGAAAAGGAGAAAAAAAAAAAAATCTCCTCTTTCCAATCTTCTTTGCCTGACGTTGGTTGTGATTTTCTAGCATCTCACAGATATTAAAGCTGTTGATCCTTTCAGAGGTGTATGTATTCTTCTTTCAAACACGTTAGTGTTTTGCTTTCAGTTTATGAATTACTTGATGCTCTCGCAATGTCAGTTGTTTCCATTCATCTGTTAATTTCAGAGTTGCAAGGTTTTCACTCAACTTATTAGAAAACATAGTTGTCCATATAAAATATAACTGCACACACAAGACTACATATAATGCAAGTCTAAATCTTCAGTATTTACCTACTTATTGCAAAATGAGCCATCTTTTTCATTAAATAATCAAATTTTCATATTAGTACAATACAACTTTATACTCTTTTAAAATACACTAGATATGTTAGGGATAAGGGATGATGTTTTCTTTCTCTGCAACACTTGTTTGAAAGTTTAATGGATTAGAAGATTAGTTTTAGCATTGAGAAAAAAATACAAAATTTGCCTAATTTTAGGACCTGTCTGTTTCTATCAGGCATTTCTTAAGGCTATATTTTTCATTTGGTTTCAAACAGAAAAATGTTTCATTTTAAAAAATAATTTAGTGAATTACATTCGTCCATATCTTTCACCCTAATTAGTTACAAAGATAATTCTATAAAGATTATTAACTTTGCGTACTCATTTACAGTTATAGCTAAAGATTCATTTCAATTTCACTTGCATTGTAAAACAAGTATTTCATGTTGGAAAAAACCCCAAAATAAATTCTTATAAATGTTGTCAGTTTTTCCCCATGGCAAATGCTCTGTCGTATGTATTTTTCTATCAGAATTAAAAATAGACCTCCACAGAGGCGTCAGGTTCTTAAATACAGTCTTCCCAAAGAACTGTGGTTTACAAATTTGAAGAACACTTAGTTTTAGAAATAATTTTTACAACTGTACCAGAAGTTCACAGCTACAATTATATATGAACACATTAAAAATGACTTCACTAAAACAGGATTTAGAAAAATGTGGGTGAAAGTTGGGCCAGAGGCACTGCCACATAGTGTTGAGGTTTACAGTCTGTGTTTTGATAAAGAAGTGAAATGAAGTGTATATATAAATAACTGCTCAGTCCTTTACAAGCCGGTAGATATGATGCTGTGCTCCATGTTCGCTGTTGGACACTTCGAATACACAAGCCATGCAGAGCAGGGTTTCTTGTGTATCCCTGTTTGTTACCACCTGTGTGAGGGGAAAGAAGAGGCAGACAGTGTGTCACAAACTTGCAAACAGCAGGGCCAGATCAGAAATGCCAGCCCTAAGTTACACCCTCTTTGGCTGCGACCGTTTGAAAGGAGTGTCCTCTCACACACTCTTTGGCCAGTTACGCCAACTGCTGTGCCCGTGCTCATGCGCTTGTGCTCTGTTGGTCCCAGCGGAGAGCACGGGGACTCAGCCCACCCTGGGACTCAGCCTGCCCTGGCTGCTTGACCGTGAGCCTCCATCGTGTGGGACTTGGCTCATGCTTGGGCTCAACTGGAGCCCCACCGCTTCGGCAGCAGGAAGCCAGCACGCTCTTGTCACTGAAGGCAGCTGAGCGGGGAGCACGTGGCTCTGTGCTTGCAGCCCCATCTGTTCCCCATGCCGCCAGCCCTGTGTCCTGCCCCGATCCTTTGGCAGCGGCAGCGCAGGGCACTAAGGGCCTGGCTGAGGTGCCACTGCAAAGCCACAGGGACAGCAAGTTGGGAACTGGCTGAAAGGCCACTCTGTGGCCTGTGCTTCATCCTTTAGCACACCTGTCAGGTGTACCCATTACTGCCTGCTTTCCTGGCCCAAGAACTAATCAGCACCACTGACATTTGCAGTATTACAGCTGACAGCTCAGTAAGAACACAGAAGGTGAGCGGGATGGTTCAAAGTTCCTGCCTCAGGCTCTCTGCAAACACCAGCTAGAGACTTGTATGCAAAAGAGAGAAGCAAGCTGAGATTTTTTTTTGAAAGTAACAAAGATGTTTGTTCATGTTCTCAGCCAGCTTAGCCTTTTCATCCTCAGCGTCTGTAGTGCACAATTCCAAGACTAACAGTCTTGAATTCTGAAGTCAATGGGCTAACTTGTTTAGTAAGCAACATGACTAAGGGATTCGGAAACTGGTTCTAAATATTACAAGTTAAGCAAGCCGTACAAAACCTGAGGGCATTTCTGGAAATAGAAAAATAAAACATGACTCTGTACCAATAAAATTGTGAAGTTTTCCAACACGCTGTTCATCATGTATTTCTCTGGTAAATGCTTCAGCTTGTGTATGAAGTTGATCATATATTCACACATTGGAGAGCGATTTATTCTGTACACAAATCGGCCATTCTCAAACCTTGCATATTCAGTCTGTAAATAAAAAATAAAAAGATAGCATTTAGAATAAGATAATTCAGAAATAGCAAAAGAAAAGACAAACCACCCCACAAACAACCCATTTATTTTCTTTGTGTAGATTGAAGAAAGTGCCTCTCAGACTCCTCTCCCACTTGCTAACTGCCTGCTACGCAGTGCCTTGCTAAAAACTCAAGGGTTCTTAATTATTAAAAGTTGTAATAGCACTACTTGTTCTCTAACCTGTGAATTAAAAAAACCAAAACCCTGAACAGTTGAGGATTACACAGAGGTAAGTCCAAGTCAAGTAAAAATGAATTAAGCAGAAAACTTTGTGGTAAGATGATTTTTACAGTAGTTTCGAGGCAACTGTCTACAAGGCAAAAAATAAGCTTATATATTTATGCATAAGCATACACATATAAACACAGCTATATTATTGCATGAGTTAATAAGCAATTTATGAATTACAGGAAGACGCAAGACTACAGTTGGAAGAAAACCGGATTGATTTAGATTGCAGGAGCTCACAAGGGGCTGAAGGAGGGCAAGGCTGTGACACTTGGAATCCTCCTGCCCAGCTGCCAATTGCTCACATGAGGTAGTCAGTGACTAGTGGGTGGGGTTTTTGGTCTTTCTGTCAGCTTGGAATAATGGAAATGCTGGAAACCATGGTGGGTTTTTGGTTTTTTTTTATGGTCACCATACACAGAAAACATCTTTAGTAGAAGGCCAGGAGCAGGGAGAAAGACACCTGTAGGGGCTCACCCTGGCAGTTCTGGGCTGGAATTTCCCCCTCAGACTGTACTGCAGGTCACAGGTGTGGGGCTTAGTACAAGTGAAATAGCAGCAGTACCATGGGACAACAGACCAACGAGCTACCTGAGCCCGCCATACAGGTGTGTGCTTAGAAAAGAGAAGGTAACAGATAAAGGCCCTTGCACGTTAAGAAAATACACAACCTGGTATCAAAAGCTGCTGGTGACTGGGGAAAGCATGCCTTTCTGTGCATAAAAGAAAATAAGCATGGGTATAGACAAGCCACAGCACATCGTTCATGGCTTTAACATGCTAGCTGCTAGAGAGTAGCTCATCGTTGTAGTAGGGTTAGTGTTCCACAGGCTATGTGGCTGGTCAAGTGCTTAGAAATGGGAGCAAAAGCATTTTTTCTTCAGGTCTTTTCTGCCTGGTGAAGGAGGCGGCACCAATGGCAGCTGCAGGATCCCACCAAAGGGTGCCACAGGCAGGGTGGAGGAGGGTCCCCAAACCAAGAGGTAACTAGTGTCACCATTCGCACAGGGATTTAAAATGAACCCAAACACTGCTGGGAAAGAACATACTCTTTCAGGAAGGATAAGAGGAAGGAAAAGCGAGTTAAGAGCAAAGTAAACACAAGAGACAGAAATGCCTAAGTAAGTGAAAGAGAACCAGAGAATCGTCCCACACATCACAACACCCACCTCTACTTTTTCTACTACTTGCTTTCCAAATGAGCAGACTTTGGTGGAACAGGTGATTGTCATGTTTTCCGAGCTCTCGTACTGACTAGTGACTCCATAAAATGCTCCTGTATCATCTTGAATGTTGCAATTTAAGTCAGCCTGTTGGGAAAAAGTAATAGTTGTTTAAGATTTGGGGGTTTTATTTGACAGTTTCAGTAGCATAAGCTGTAATTAGCTCACCATTATTTTCAAGAAATAAGGCAGAGGGAGAGAGTTTTTTAGTGACAACAGTGTCAGTGGAAAAAAAAATCTGTCAGTTAAGTACCTGCTTAATTGTTGCAGTAAAAATCTCAGGGAAGCAGCAATTTCTTCAAACTTCAAACAACAAAAGACAACCCAGTATTTCTCTGGGCTACAGGGGATGTTCTTGTCTAGCAGGTAGCTGATGAAGTCCCTAGAATAAAGCGAATGATCGCCTGCGAAGAGCCTGGCTCCAGAGCCAACTCCTCTGGAGTGAATCTGCCTCACAGCCCCGAATTCAGCTGAGCCATCCCACACTTGAGGGGCCATAGTTCACTTTCTCCCACCGCACCGACAAAAGCGTTACTGGAAGTAGCTGGTTTCTTTTAGTATTCCTCTGCTGCCTCTGATATTGAGCCTTGCAGGATCAAGCGAGGAACAGCGCTACCTTTAATTATTTATACCCAGCTCCAAGGCTTGTGCACAGCAGGGCTGCTTTGGCTACAAAGCAGCAGCACAGGTCACAGGCTGAATCCCCGCACCCCCAGCCTGCAGCAGCTGTTCTGCCACAGTGCTCTTTGTCATCGTGAATCCATTGTCCAAAGCCCTCAACTTAAAAAAACCCACTAATATGGAGACAGGCAAAGTCTAGGGAGATCCACAGCTGGATTGTTGATTCAGGCAGTAGCTGTGCTGACATTTTTGGTACCCAAGCAGAGAGTGGGCAGGGTTTTCGTTTTATATGGAAATAACTCATCAGCTATTGCAGTGTAACTTCTAAGAATCACCTGAAGTTTTAACTTCATGACAAGCATTTTAGCAGGGAAATGCACTTTTGTAGCTACTTCACTTGAAGTATAGCTCTGCTCGGGTTTATTGCTAATATAGAAATGTAACACAAAAATTTTGACAGACACCTTCATGTCTATCTTAAGACTTTCCAAAAACACAGTTTACAGGTATGTTTACTTACTTGTTAGTGTGGAACTTTTATAATCCTGCCTTCACTATGGTTCAGGTCATTTGTAACTTCTATGTAATTTTTAACTAGGCAACAACTCATTAATTCTACTTAGTGTCTACGGTCCTTATTTGTGGTACAACATTCTGAGGCAATAAGCTGATAATAGCACATACTGAGCTAGTTTGTGGTACAGAGAAGACATAGGTCTAAGATTACTTTAGGCTCCTTTGGTAAATTAATCAGCGGAGAAGTCTCCTGAGGTTTATGCACAGCAACACAAACAGCCCTATAGTCACGTATTTTGCATAACAGAAAGAAATCCTATCTCTATTACACCTTGTTTCTTGCACATGTTTTGCATGAGGTCAGCAGTTAATATTTAATGTACATCTGAAGCACTGTGTTCCTGGTGAGCTGCAAGAAATTGTTCTGAGCTATTAGTAAATAACCAATTTGCCATCACAGCTGGCTTGCAAGCAAAACATGGCAAACATCTAAACACGACAAACTGCCGCAGCCATCAGCCATGTAACAGCCGCTCCACCGGAACTGCTGAGGAATGGGGATTCCTGATAAAACAACTGCATTGTTGTAAATAATAATTATTATAATAGTAGTAATCTCATAAAAAAAATGGTTATTTCTGCAACTACCCCAAATACAACTTTTCTATCAAAACATTTTCTTTTTTTTTTCCTTTCAGATATGGGTAAAATATTTAAGAAATCATAACTACAGTGCTAACATTTCCAGTTGCAGTAATGACCATTTATAGAGTTTAGAAAAAAACCACCACTTTTTATCTGCCTTCTGATTTTTGAAGCCCATAGAAATAAATATCTAATTGTTGTATTTACATGGTGACATTAAACCTGGAAAAGTAACACATGTGGCCATCTGGCACCCTGTTGATCACTCCCACAGCTCTTTCAACTCTTGCTGAAATCACCAGGAGTCCTGTGTACACAAAAAAGTACAGGCTGGGGCCCTGATGTTTGAATGAGGAATGCTTGAAATTATCATCAAATGTCACGATTTACTTTTATGCAGTCACGACATTATTGCAAAATTCCCAGTGTATATGTATAAATTACAGATGTGAATTATCTTTATTTGCTTTACTTGCTCTTCAAGTTTGTTTTTGAGTCCAGCACACAATAAAGGCGTTTTCAAGGGAAGACAGAATTTTCCTTTTAACTAACAGTTTTTGTGTTCAATTAATTACAGACTGCTGAGAGCTGAAGCTTTAAGACACCTCCAAAATGTGTAACACCAACATCAATTCGTGAGAGTTGGCAACAGCAAATACTCTCGAATGAAGGTTTCACCAAAGCCTCATCTAATACTGAAACAAATTTGTCCATGCCCACATACTAAAATAGATCTTTTCACTAGGAGCCGAGTGCATGAACTCTAAGTAGTATCACTGTGAAGAGAGGATTCTCTTGGCAAGGAAGTATTCTGAACCAGGTGTTGAAAGCTTTCTTCCATGCTGAATACCTTTAGAAAAGAAGGTATTGGTAAAATACAAAACTTATGCCAGTAAAATACAAAATTTTGATTAAGAAATTATGGTGAAGGACTTGCTAATTATGTTGCTATGGCTTACATAGTGAGGGGTTCATCTAAACACCTGAAAGCAAAATTGTATTTCTTGGACTGGCAAAAGCAGGTCATAATTAAAATTCCGGGTGTGTTTTTTCCTCCCCTCAAAAGGTGTGTGCTGAAGATGGGCATGGCAGTGACTGTGAGAGTTGCAGATGAAGCTTCGAGCAGAAAGAAGGTGATGTGCTACCCCAGTACTCGGTGTTAGCAGGCTCCTTACTACAGTATTGATTCCAGTTTTTGTTCCAGAATGTTGGAAAATTGGAAAGTGTTCAGAAAAGTTACAAGAATGATTTCAGGTCTGGAAAACATCCTTTGTAGTGAATGACTAATGAAACTCCATCTACTTACTTTTTCCAAGGGAAGTTTTTCCACGACTTTGTCATAGCCTACAAGTCGCTACATGGGAAAATCTGATAGATTAAATCTTGCATAAAGGACATTAAAAGACAGAAAGCTAAAGCTAAATGAGCAACAAGGCAGAGGCTGGTTACCCTGATGGTAATGAAATGCTGGTGTAGTTTTCAAATGTGGGGGAATCACCATTATTTGAGGTCTTTTTTTAACCAAATACTGAACTAACAGGGATGATCTAGCTCAAGCAGGCTTATTGGCCAGAGGCAGGCACTACTTAGCAAGGTTCACTGCCTATATTACAGAAGAGGCAAGACTAGATAAATATAATAATAGCAAAACTGAAATATAGGAATTTATCTTATTAACCTCAATTAACCCTCTCCTTATAATTTCCTTTTTCAATGAACCCTGTGAAAAATGTGCCAACAGTCAAGAAGCTCCTGGAGCACAGTGTTTGCAGCATCTCATGCTGCAACCAGCTTTGTCTTATTATTTCCTTGGACTTCTGTCTCCGTCATTTCAGACTCAGATCTGTCCAGTCTTCCTGGGCTGTAAACCAGCTTTCCCTTCTGTACAGCTCCTCATGAAACTATGCTCTGACCGGCTGCTCTAGGAGTTAAGAGTTGGTGAGCACCATTGCAGCATAATCAGATAAATAACCTTGTTATCAGTGATTTCAAATATATTGGCATGATTTCAAATGTTATGGCATTTCATATACTATGGCATGATCATGCATGATGAACAGGAATCCATTTACTCATTGACTAAAATACAAGGTCAATACAATTTAGGGGAAAAAACCCAACAACTTAGAACCACAAATGGAGTATTAATTTTTTTTTTTCACTTTAAAGTATAAAACTCTAATTCTGATTTATTTCCAAGAGGTGAGATTTACATTAGCTGATTTACATTTGGAGGCGGGAGAGGCACTCAGCTCTCTGGCACCCTAGCTACAGTGGTTGTGTAAGAGCATGATTAATTCATTAATAAAGCATAGCTTGTCAATGGGTAGCACTGAAAATGTTACATATTAAGAGGACCAAGCATTCGAGGTGCTGCACAGAGAAGCCTCTGTCCGTGTGCCAGGGCAAGCACCAAAACAGAGCTGTCTACAACCAAAATGAAGAGTAAAATTAAATTAATCTTCACGTTCACTTCAGAAAAGCTCTCAGGCTCTGTGTTTGTATAATAATAGCAGCTTTGGCTAACAAAAAAGCAACTCCAGCAAAAACTGCTGAGAAGAGTCTAAATCCTTCCCGCTGAGTAGAAGGAAAACAGCGGGATTTGGGGAGGGCCAGAACAATTTACCCTGGCATTCGGTAGTTAACATGTAGTACATAAGGTCATTTATTAACAACATATAGGTTTTAACAACTGCTGACTGCAGGGAGGTGTGGTACTCATATGACTGCGTTGCGCCTCCCCTCCTCCTCTCCAAAGAGTGATCAAAGAGCAGAGATTCCAAATTGTGAAGCAATTTTTTCCAGCGGGAGCATCTGGGTCGTTGGCACGTTTTGCCGCGCGTTACGCTGCCGCTCAGGAATTGCGTCCAGGTCTGCCACATGGTTGGGCTTGTGATGGACGGGCCAAGCTGCTCCGGCTTCCCAGCTGCTCAGCCCCTTCCACTCATTATCCAGCCTCAAGCGCTAATGCTCTCGCATCAATTTGCGGAGGGGTCCTCCAGAAGCACCGTGTGAGCTCCCTGCACCGAGAGGGTTGTGACGGGGAAAAGAAAATGGATGTCTGCTTTCTTCCATATCTAATTTGTTTTGCATACATTTGCATGCTGGCCATAGACCCATTCACATTACGGATCCCATTTGTGAGTTGCAGATCATTTGCCAGTCAAAGCTGGCGAGTGTGCACGCGCGTGTGTGTAGAGAAATCCAAGATTCTAGATTGTGCAACATAAATTATATATAAAAATAGAAAGAGAAAAGAAGGGCGGTAGCCACAGTTGTGTGTGCGTGAATGAAGGGCACAAAGA